AACAGAGTATTTATTTTTTAAGATATTTTATTTTTAATATTTTAGTTTATATAATTCTTACATCATTTTTCATTTTTGCACAATGTATGCATTATTTTGGTTATATTCCCTACACAATTGCACCCCCCTTATTTTGACCCTAATTCTTCCTCTCCCTGCCCCTCCCCCCGCCAGTGCATCTCTGGTGTATAGTTGCTTGTTGATTTTGATTTTTACTTTGTATCAATTAGTCTTTTTCCTGGTCCCTTATTTAGGTTTTCTGAATTCCTGGTATGAGTGAGACCACCCAGTATTTTTTTTTTCTTTCTGACTTATTTCGCTGAGCATGATCCCTTCCAGCTCCATCCATGTTGCTGCAAAGTACATGTGTTTATCTTTTTTGATTGCTGAGTAATATTCCATTGTGTATATGTACCACATCTTCTTGATCCAGTCATCTATTTTTGGGCATTTGGGTTGTTTCCAAAGCTTAGCTATTGTAAATAGTGCTGCTATAAACATAGGGATGCAGGTGCCCTTTGGAATTAATGTTTCTATGTCATTTGGGTAAATACCTAGGAGTGGAATTGCTGGATCATATGGAGGCACTAGCTTTAGGTCAAGAAATCTCCACAGTGGAGATTGGACCAGTTTGCACTCCCACCAGCAATGCAGGAGAGTTCCTTTTTCTCCACAACCTTGCCAACATTTGTTGTTGCTAGTTTTTTTTAATATGTGCCATTCTCTCTGGTGGAAGATGGCATCTCATTGTAGTTTTGATTTGCATTTCCCCAATTACAAGTGATGTTGAACATTTTTTCATATGCCTGTTGGCCATTTGCATTTCCTCTTTGGAGAAGTTTCTTTTTAGCTCTTCTGCCCATTTTTGACTGGATTATTTTCTTTGTTTTTGTTGAGTCTTATGAGCTCTTTGTAGATTTTTGTGATCAGTCCTTTATCATTAGTGTTGTGTGCAAAAATTTTCTCCCAGTCTGTGGGGTTTCTCTTTGTTTTTGTTATTGTCTCTTTTGCTGTGCAGAAGCTCTTTAATTTGATGTAGTCCCAGCTGTTTATCTTTGCCTTCATTGCTTTGGGTGATGTGTCTGTAAAGATGTCTTTGAGGTGCATGTCATATAGTGTTTCACCTATATTTCCTTCAATATATTTTATGGTTTCAGGTCTTATGTCTAGTTCTTTAATCCATTTTGAGTTGGTTTTTGTGCATGGTGTGAGGTAGTAGTCAAGCTTCATTCTTTTGCATGTAGCAACCCAGTTTTCCAAGCACCATTTATTGAACAAACTTTCTTTGCTCCAGTGCATATTCTTTGCTCCTTTGTCAAAGATTAGTTGACCATAAATCTGTGGGTTTGTTTCTGGATTTTCTATTTGGTTCCAGTGGTTGGTGTATCTGTTATTGTTCCAATACCATGCAGTTTTGATTATAATGGCTTTGTAGTATAATTTGAAGTCTGGGCGTGTGATGCCTCCATTCCATTCTTTTTTTTTTTAGGAGAGCTTTGGCTATTCGGGGTTTTTGGTGATTCCATATGAATTTCATCAATAATTGTTATATTTCTTTGAAGAATGTCATTGAAATTTTTATTGGAATAGCATTGAATCTGTAAATTGCTTTTGGTATTTAAATCAATTGGCATAGCTGTATTCCATGGGTGTTCAGGGAAGACTATTATAAGAAAATGTTCTAAAAGAGGTTAATAGTTTCTGTTACTTTTTTTTTTTAGGCAGGTAAAGGGGATATAATTGTATTTTATATTTTGATAGATTTTATACTTTGTTTTCAAAATGTCAAATCTGCAATAGTATTTATACTTATTGTAGGAAGACAAACATTATATTCAAACTCACCATAGAATAGTCCTCTATTTGTTTCAGTAATTCATTTGCAGAGAAAACTTTGCTCTTCAGGTGTAGGAATCACAGATTAGAGACATTTTCTCTCCTTGGCTTCCAGAGTAAAAGTACATGGTGGCTACAAGGACAGACACTAAAAGGAGAAACCAGCCTTCTACCCTATTCACTCAGTGACCCCAGACAAGGTCATATGCACATGTGCAACATGACAGTACCAATGTCACAATATTGTCACAGTATTGTCACAAGCATGACATGAATTAAACCTAAAAGAATTAGAATAGTGTCTAAGAAAGACCAGTAGCTGAATGACCACTTTGATCATGAGAATCTGTAGGGTAAATGGAATTAATCAGGCTTTTTACACCACTAGCCTCTGTGGCTATCACCTGCGGCCTTGATCGTGTTGATGCAGAAGGCACTTGGGGGTGTGGGTGTGGGGCACGTGTACCTGATTGTGGACACATGGATGGGTGTGTGCACATGTGCAAGGGTGAACACCGAAGTCTAGAGGCCAGGGATATAAGGGTGGCATCACTTGGCTACAAGAGGCAGCTGAGAGGAGAAAAGGCAGCACGACTACAGAAGAGGCCAGAGAAAGAAAGCAAGATTTGAGAGATGGGAGGCTTGGTTGCTGGACCCTCTGCTTGCCATGCGCTATTGCCACTACAGCATCTCACAACAAAATCCCAGGCAAATGCAAGCCAAGAGGGAATCCACCTGGGTATGAGATGACGTAACCCTCCACCCCAAACTACACAGTATGAGGGGGCTGGCTGGGCTGCAACAACCCCTCAAGTAGATGAACGCTTGTCCTCCCACACCAGGGAGAGAGGGAATGAGCTCCATCCCAATTCTCATGCATTATATATGGGAATAAACATGAATTTCTTCTGAATGACCTAACAGAGTTGAAGAAGCAGGGGGATTTGTCATTTTAAAAGTTATTTTATCTCTCTTGGCCTCAGATAATGCATATTAATTGGGAGACAGGAAATGACATTGCTAAAGTGCTGTGATGACTATAAGATGTGCTGTCACCAGCACATTGCCTAACACTCGATGACATCTACTTGGGCCTAATACACGAATTTATAGATCACATCTCAACAGTAATAAAATAGTACATGATTCCCTTTCTGTAGGAAAAGAGGCTCAGGATGGGTGTCCAGGTGTGAGGCCTCTGTGGTGCCCCTGTTGGGAAGGATATGGGTGGGCACAGATCTAGAGTTGATTTTTGTGTGGGTTATCTTGGCGGTTTTAATGTTGTGGTCCCAGATGGCACAGTAGTACATGGCTTCATCGTCTTTCTCTAAGTAATTAATTTTCAAGGTTGAAGTGGAAGTACGTGAGTCTTTGCTGCCTTCGAGTTTGGTTTTCCCTTCTATTTGCTTCTCAGCAAGGGTTGTTGTTGAGAGGACATACATTAGATGTTCTATATTCTGGCCAGGTTTCTGTCGGTACCAGTGTATGTAATCATTGTTAAAGTTTGCAGAGGACACCTTACAAGATATATGGGCACTCTGATATCTTCCCTTAGAAACTGATACTTTAGGTTGTTCCAACTTTAACTGCCCAATGAAAACTGCAAGCAAAGAAGTGAAATCTTTGTGATCAAATGATATATACAGAGACAGCAATAAAGAATTTTTTTAGTGTCTCCTATAGACTTAGATGATGGGGTGGTGGGGGGAACTCACGAGCCCAGAGAGACGAGAAGATGACAGCTTGCAGGAGAGGCATCCTGTTGGCTGGTTGGCTCCGGGGAGAAGGTGAGAAAGTGAGGTCCCTGTGAGCAGAAGGTCTTAGGCCAGTAGTGGAGGGTGGGGCTAGTTCTGGTGTCTCAGAGGAAGTGGTGGCTCAGATAGTTTATTGGGCTACGTCGTGATCTGCTACAGATATTAGAAGCTCTGTGGCTTCCTGAGCTCCATGGTGCTGACAGATCTGGAAAGAGTGCTCAAGATCTGGGAAGAAATCCCTGGGATGAATTCATACATCTTGGGATAGGGGAAGGATGATTCTTGTATGTATGCACTTAACCGTTCCCCCTGAAACTCCACATTATGAGATCATGGTCCAAACATGTAAGAACATACCTGCTGTGTTCATTCTATATGTATATCTTTCTGAAATTTACTCATGCTTCAGGACCTGGGTATGAAATCTTTATTTTCTAAGGTACTACAATGGTAATTCAGAAATTTCAGTGTCCCATCAATGTTTTCTAGTGTTCCATAAGCACAAACCCTGGAGTACTTTTTTTTTTAATTAATGAGATATCACAACACAGATTATGACTCAGATAGATCAAATTTAATTTATATTTTGAGTGCTGCTAAGAAGGGGAAAGAAAAGAATTGTTGAGGCTATATGAGAAAAAACAAACTGGAAATGAGCTTCTACTCACCCTGGGCCCATGGTCCTCCATGACAGTCCATTGTTTAATTACATTAGAATTGTTCATGAGAAAGAACAGAAGCTCTGAAGAAATGGTCACTACTATCCTGAACAGGCTGAGAGCAAAATCCTCGGGAAAATGGAGTGATCGGGGAATTCACCTGGGTGTGAGAATTTAAGCTTCCACCCCAAACTCCAGGGCGTGTAAGGTCTGTGCAAAGTCAAGCCGGCTGGCTGGACTGTAACAATCCCTCAAGAAGAATGAATACTTTTTTCCCCACCACCAGGAAGAGAAGGTGTGAGCTCTGTCCCACATTTTCTCTAATATGAATGGACTAAATAAATACTGAATTTTTTGTGGATGGTCAGACAGAGTTGAAAAAAGCAGGGAGTTTGGTACTTAAAGCTATTTTATCTCTCTTAGGGTCAAATTATGTGTATTAATCTGAATAAATGAAGATGATATTGAAAAATGCTGTGATGATTCTAGAAGATGCGTAATCACCACTACATTCCCTGCATGCAATGATTTTCTGTTTGAGTCTGATACATATATTTATAGGCCACACATTTATAGGCCACTGTAATAAAATAGTACACGACTCCCTCTCTGCAGGACGGAGGGAAAATGGGCACCAGGTTGGGTGCCCACGTGTGAGGATCTGTGTTGATCCATATTGGGAAGGATGTGGGTAGGATGACCTAATGTTAGTTTTTGTATAGGTTACCGCGGTGATTTTAATATTGTGCATCCAGCAGGCACAGTAGTACACGGCTTCATCTTCATTCTCTAAATAATTAATTCTCAATTTTGATGTGGAGGTAGGAGGGTCTTTACTTGCTTCAAATTTTTTCCTTCCACCTATTTGCTGCTGAGCGAGGGTTGTTGTCGAGACAATATATATTAGATGCTCTATATTCTGGCCAGGTTTCTGTCGGTACCAGTGTACGTACTCATTCTTAAAATTTGCAGAAAATACCTTACAAGATATAATGACACTCTGATATCTTATCCTGGAAATTGATATTTTATGTTGCTCCAACTTTAACTGCCCAAAGCCAACTGCAAACAAAGAAGTGAAATCTTCATGAAGAAATAATAGACAAAATGCAACAAAGTGTTTTCTCAGTGTATCCTATAAACATAAATGATGTGGGAACAACTCACAAGCCCAGAGGGAAGAGAAGATGACAGCTTGCAGGAGAGGCATCCTGTTGGCTGGCTGGCTCCCGGAGAGAAGGTGAGAAAGTGAGATTCCTGTGAGCAGGAGGTCTCAGGCCAGCGGTGGGAGGGTCGGGGGCTGGTTCTGGTGTCTCAGAGGAAGTGGTGGCTCAGATGGTTTATTGGGCTACTTCGTGATCTGCTACATATATTAGAAGCTCTGTGGCTTCCTGAGCTCCATGGTGCTGGCAGATCTGGTAAGAGTGCTCAAGATCTGGGAAGAAATCCCTGATATGAAATCATACGTCTTGGGATAGGGGAAGGATGGTTCTTATGTACACTCACTAGTTCCCCCTGAAACTCCACATTGTGAGATCATGATCCAAACGTGAAGATATATCTGCTCTGTTCAGACCTTATCTCTATCTTTCTGCATCTTAGTGTTGAAGACTTGTGTATGAAAACTTTATTTTTCTAAACTACAAAAAAACAATTTCAAAAATGCAATATAGCTCATCAATGTATTTTTAATGAGCCATATGCACATACACTAGGGTATTTCTATGTTTTTTTTTTTAACTAATGGAATATTTTTTTAAAGATTTATTTATTTATTTATGCAAGGACTGGGAGAGTGAGAGAATGTAAGAAGCATGGGAGAGTGAGAGAATTCACTAGAGCCAGAGCAGGGAGCAGAACAGGCAGACTGACGAAATACACTGCTGAGGGGAGCAGCAGGCGGCAGGAGAGGTCTGCATGTCATGTGGGACTCTCACCGGCGGCCGGGGATCAAACTGGCACTACAGAGGCTTCGGGCAGCTTCACAACCCAGCACTCAACCACTGCGCCACAGGGGAGGCCCAACTAATGACATATTACCACACAGATTATGACTTGGAGATGTCAAATTTCATTTATATTCTGAGTATCTCCAAGAAGGGAAACGACCTCAATTGCTGGAGAGTCAACAACAAAGAACAGACTGGGGAAATCAGCTTCTACTCACACTGGACCTGGAAACTGTCCCTCGATTACTATGCCACCATTAGGAGTATTGTCAATGAAGTGTAAGTTTAATATGTGATGATAAGCTTTAGAATTGATATAGCCTTTAATCTTGAAGACTTGGATTGTCAGGCATTGTTTTAAATGTTTTCATATATTATAGTATTTACTTCTCTCAACAGTCCAGTGGGAAAGCTGGTATGATAATCTCCAATTGACAAGTGAAAACAGTGGAAAGGGGAAGTCACATGTTCAAAGACAAAGTACTGGGAAACATGAGAACTCAACTAAGGAAGACTGGTTCACGAGAAAACAAGTCTAAATAAGATGAGACATTAAAAATTACAATAAAGGCATCCATCATTCACTTTTTTTTTTTTAAGATTTATTTATTTATTTATTTATACAAGCACTGGGTACAGTCAGAAGCGCAGGAGGGTGAGAGAATTCACCAGAACCAGAGCAGGGAGCAGAGCAGGCAGAAGGACCAAATCACACTGCTGAGGGGAGCAGCGGGCGGCAGGAGAGGTCTGCACACCATGCGGGACGCTCCTCTGGTGGCCGGGGAGCAGCCGGGGATCGAACCAGCACTGCAGAGGCTGCGGGCAGCTTCGCAACCCAGCGCTCAACCACTGCGCCACCAGGGAGGCCCCATCATTCACTTTTATTTTGACTTTTTCTCTACATATTATGGACAGAAATAGAATACTTGGTATTTTATGTATAAATATATGTATTAAAGTGGATCATGCATGTTTGACTTTATATTCTTCTTTTGATTAACTTACTATTGGAGCAATTTTACAGGTTTTTAAATACTCTATATGAACATTTTTGTTAATGACCAAGAAAATTAAACATCCTATTATGCCACTTTAGCCCTAGTTGACATTGCCTGAGCTTTTAGGATTCTTAGGCCTCAAATACACATGTGTTCCTTAAGTACCTATGTATTTAAATCTGTTAGAAGAATCTAAAAGTTTATATTTTACATACATGAGGATGATGCAGAAAACGCTCAGGTATAAGAACGTGGTACATTGTGATCAATCTTTTAACTATCATCAACATTAGATAAGAGAAAATTACATTATTAAATATTTTTACAATTAAACTACAGGATTTTATTTAGGAAAATATATAAAATTAATCAAAGTACATAAGGAAACAAAAATGTTTATTCCCTCAATAATAATCATTCTTAGAATTTTGGACAATACTTCTTTTTGTAGTCTTATATCTATGCAATAATTTATATTTTAAAAGGTTTTCATATGCTCATGAATTTTTCTTTATAGGGTGTCATAAACAATTTGCAGAACTGAGTGACTAGTTCAGGAGGAAGATTGGCTGGGAGTGGGACAGTGAGGAGGGGCAATGAACCAACGTAGGGTATATTTGGGGTACTGGTGTTGGTCATGGAGTGAAAATATACTGTTGTAGGGGATTAAGTTTATAACCCCTGAAGGAGGTTCATAAAAATGTCTACTCAAAAATGTTATTAACAAAACCACAAGACATTGTTTTCAATGACTGCATAATATTCTAGACTTTGAATGCAAAATAATTCAGCTTTCTCTTTCCCTGCTAGTCACCACTTAGTTCAACACAATAAGAGCTGATGGGAAGTTATCCTTTAAGATCTGAACACAGGGTATCTCACTGTGGACACCTCATCACTGTTCTGTGAGGCTCTTTTAAGTTCTAAATCAACCCTTATGAAGAAGGAAGTAGAGATATTGACAAACTTGTTTGTTCATTCCTGTCTGAAAAGAATTTGCGCTCATATTTGCTCATATTCTCTGTTCTCTCAGGCCCTGCTCTCTACTGTAGTTTCTATTAAAATTTAGGTAAGCAGAAAGTTCTCATATAGGTTCAAGAAATCAATCTGGGCACACACTGACTACATATGATGGTCAAGATACTGGACAGGTTAGATTCGCAAAAGGTTGCATGTATCAGATCAGGAAGGAAAGGGCTGGCAGGCTGAGTCCATGCCAGTTTCCTTTGGGTCTCCTTTCATTCAATGGCATCCCTGAATTGAAAAATAGAACCAGAGTCCTTAGGTTTGCAGAAGACAGGAATGAATACTGTGTCAGGTTGTTGGAATCTGTCAAATAAATAAGGGAATGTGTGCAGCACAGAAGCAAGGTGGTATAGTATTCTTCCATAGGGTGCCTAGGAAGCTTTATGAATGTTTCATGTTTTATGAAACCTCCTCCAACTTAAATGTGAAAATTGAACAATGCATGGATTGGAGGACAGCCTACATTTTTCACACTTAAATTGGAGGAGGTTTCATAAAACATTGTATATATTATTATTTTATGTTTTGGAAAGCAAATTGATAACATTAACATTTCATGGATTCTGTGATAACTCAGATGCTGATGACATGATTCAGTAAAAAATAATAAATTAGCAAATGTTCCACAAAGGTCAGTTTTGTTTTCTCCATGGGATAAAAGGAAGGCACAGCACTTCTTATTTTCTTGACTGGATCAAGAAGATGTGGTACATATACACAATGGAATATTACTCAGCAATCAAAAAGGCAAACACATGCAGTTTGCAGCAACATGGTTGGAGCTGGAAGGGATCATGCTCTGTGAAATAAGCCAGAAAGAAAAAGAAAAATACCGGATGGTCTCACTCATAGCAGGAATTTAGAAAACTTAAATAAGGGACCAGGAAAAAGACTAATTAATACAAAGTAAAAATCAAAATCAACAAGCAACTATAAACCAGAGACACACCATGTGGGAGGGAGGGAAAGGGAGAGGAAGGAATAGGGTCAAAATAAGGGGGGGCAATTGTATGGGGAATATAACCAAAATGATAATGCGAACATTGTGCAAAAATGAAAAATGATGTAAGAATTATATAAAATAAAATATTAAAAAATAAAAATTAAAAAAAAGAGGAAGGTCTCTACATGCAGGTTACTGAATTCAACCCTAGTGAGCCAAGTACAAGCTGTATGATTTGGGCAAGTCTCTGACATACATAGCTTCACTTATCTCTTGAGTCAAGGGACTAAAATAACAGAAAAGACCTCATAGTTTATGATGAGAATTAAAGGTGCTAATGTATACAACGAATTGAGAAACTCAATCCTTTTAACTCTATGCTTTAATTTATCTGTAAAATGGGTGAATAACAGTTATAATGTAAAAGTCTTATGAAAATTATGTGTTAGCATGTGAACCTTATGTGTTGAACCTAAAGTGTCAAATGCAGGCACAAATGATGATGCACATCTGAAACTTAGATAATGTCACATTGCAACGTTACTTCAATAAAAATTTTTGCAAATTAGGTCATATCAAATAAATGAATGTGCAGAACAAAGGCTTATGACTATACGAAAATGTAGATAAGTATTTATGATTCAATGTAAGGTATAGGCTTGTTAAAGTATTTTAAATATTTTAAATAATTGGTAACTGGTACAATAGAGCAAATTAAAGATGGTTCAATTTTTATAGAATTCCATCTTGCCTGAGATCACAGAAGTGAGACCTTTGAGTTGAGATACACTAGGCTTTAAAGTATAACAATTACTTTCAAAACAGTAATTGACCAACTAACTTAGTCTCTCCAGTCTTTTAAACTGTGCACTATAATTGCCCTTACATTTAAGGGACCCTAGATGATAAAAGGATGGCCTAGTATGTTACTAGATCTCATCAACTCCCTAGTCCATCCACATCTGACCTCTCTGTGTAGCAACAGCATCCATATGATTGTCAATACTTTTGTGTTTGGGGTGTCTGCCAATTTTTAAAGAATAGTTACCAACAGTAAATGTGAATGTTGCAGATTGCATATAAAAGCACAAATAATAGCATCTAATGCCATAACTCCTAGAGATAGGGTACTGTAACTTCCTTTTCAGATGAAGAAATGATTGCACAAAGACTCATGTAGCTTGCCTGAGGCCACAAAGATGCAAATACCAGGCCCAGGATTCAAACCCAGGTGCACAGCGTGCAGAGGGTTCCCCCTCCTCCATGCTGCCTCACCTGTAATTGTGCATCTCTCATGATTATGTGAGGATCAGGGACCACAAAGCTCCTTAAACACCAGTACACACAAGTAAAGACAGCGTTGACTCATTCAGTTGCCATGGGAGTGTCCCAAATATGAATCTGGAGCCTTTGTAAAGGTGGTTGCCTTCATCTGTGGTTCCCTTAGAGCCAATGTCCCAAAGAAAGGACATCACCGTCTCCTCTGGGACAGATCTTGAAATATTTATTGACTCCTGTGACAATCAATGCTGGAAAGGAGAGCTCAGTTCTGGTTCTGTTTCTTACCTTCAACTTCAATTAGATTTTATCAAATTACAACACACATACACAAAAGTAAACCTGATTTTTTTTTTATTTGTTGTGTCTATCATGCAAAACGAAATACAGAGTTCAAGTAGCAAAAATGGCAGCTTCAGGGTGTATAAAGTGAAAATCTTCAAGGCAATTATGTGGCCAAGGGGCATGAAGGGAATGTGACTAGAAGTTCTATCCTGCCTACACTGAAAGGGCAGTTTATGGAAATTACTGAGACATGGGTACTAAGCAAGGATTCAGTCAGAACCCCCTCCACCCTGCCCCCGATAATGGCAGAATTTGTTGTTGTCACAGAGTAAAATTTTCTTTTTGCCCAGGTTTTGAAAAACTATTACACCATAATAATGAATAAGAAGAATACACACGAGAACTAAAATAACCCAAACCCAGAAACACAGCCCAGCAGAATACACAACAGAATCTTTTAGCAATAATAATGATGAATACTACATGACTGCTCTGTGGCACCTTCTATTAGGGACTCTTCCCATTGCCACAGGCTCCTTTTCTCCTGAGCACGCTGAAAGTGATGATGACAAAGTAGACCATGCTCTTGAGAAGGAGGAGGACATAGGTGTAATAGGCAGATGTGTGGATGAACTGTAGCTGCAGTGGCCCTAAGAAAAGACATGTGATTAGTTTCTTTTGAAACGACAGGACACATTAATAAGTAGAGTCACATTATTTATTTCTGATACCCTACATTGAAATGACATCCCTGTAACATCAGAACCCAAAGATGTCTACAGCCAACATTACCACCAAGGACAACAGCAACAGAATCCAGCATTGGATCAAGTCAAACAACACCTCTGCTACATTCATGAAGAACATTCCAAAATATTAAAACATAAGAGTTTTTTTAATGAAGGAGTCTTTAGAGGAAAAAAATTGTAATAAATAACTTTTAGCTTTGCATCACGTAGATCATTTCTCTAAGTAATAATAAGGACTAACAATCTTTAACCACTGATGAAATATCTGACACTTATTTTTTGATCTTTGCATGTAAATTTTTAGTCTTATTAAGTGTTTACCTAATTTATGAGATTATTATCTTCCTTCCAATTTTACAAATAAGATTGCCAGAAAGGTAAGTAATTTCCATGGTGTTATGTTTTTTATCAGAAACTAGATTTCAACTCCAACAACATAACATTAAAAAAAAACACATTCTTTGCTACTCTGTAATTCTGCATCTCCAAATGCAAGATATATTCAGATGTCAAAAGATGAAGCATAAATGTTAAGTTGCTGATTTAGAAGTCATTCCACAATATTCATGGAATGATATCCCTTGGAAGAGCATAGCCCATGGGGCTCGATGGTGTTGACAGTGGAGGAGGATGAGAGGTTTCAGTAAAGGGGGAGGTAACATAAAACGGGAGAGTTTAATCCAAAATCTCTAAAATTTTAGGATCACATATCACTCGCCTGTCTCTCTTGAAATGTTGATAACTGCACATAATATCTTTTTTTAATTTTTGCAGGAAATACATAATGTCAAGAAATAATAAGTGATTATGAGGCTGGCTGGCCACTCACTGAGCCACAGGCTGAGTGAGTTTCTGCCTATGGAAGTTCCCTTTTCACATGCTTTAACTTGAGAAAGTCAGAACTCAAGAATCATTAACGCTTGGTGATAAAGGAATCTAAGTAGGCATTTTTCATTTGCTCATATTCCCCTACCCTTGATCAGGAAATGTGTTAGCTGAGGTCTAGAGACCCTGAATATTCGAAAAGGAGGGAACGGTCAATGACTTTAGTTACTTTCTTTGTACATATGTAGGAAGAGGGAAAGAAAATAGTACTGATTTTGCACCAGCCAGATGACACCCTATGTTAGACCTCCATAAAAGTGAAACTACCTCTTCAATAACTGATTTAGTTGTAATTATTTTCAATTGGCAGATGAGGAAAGTATTGCTCAGAAAATGTAAGTTCTTTCCCCCTAATCACACAATGAATAATCCAACATATTGGCATTAAACTTATGTGAAAACAAAGATGTACAAAAACTTACTTTCATATTCCAGACTAAACTTTTTAAGGTAATTATCAGTAAGGAATAAGAGCATGCATTAATTGTTCATCTCCACTATTTGACAGTACATTTCTGCATATGAAAATGATAGATTGATAGATTGATAGATAGATAGATAAACAGATAGATAGATAGATAGACTGATTTTTCTTTTTCACATCAATTCAAAAGTTAAGTTGATCAGGTAAAAAATATGTGCTGTCGCATTACAGACAATCAAGGTATATGCAAAAACTTACTGTTTTCATCTGTTACCACAGCGGGAGCGGTGTACTCAAGACCATCTTCTTTTCCTGTTGGAGTCAGAGTTCCTAGCACGGTGGTTGTCTCAGTGTAGGTGTTCGAAAAATTCTCCTTGACTAGAAAAAAAAGAAGGGGCTGCTTTACAGTCTTCAGCACACACCACATATTGCTGACTTGAATGGTCTGTACCAAAATGATTTATTTTATTCCTAGAGTCTACACCAAAATCTAACAGGTTGAAAGAAATGTGTTTTAGGAATAGTCTCAGCTATGCAAAGTGAAGCAGCCATACTTTTCCTAATTGTCGTAATGCCTACTCAGACACATGATTTTTCAAAGTTGTGGGTTTTATGGACATGACAAAAATAGTTTTAAAAACTTTTAATCTACTATGATTATAACTGTGCAGGACCTGTGTCAAATTCACTATCTCATTTAATCCCCCAGTCACACTGAAGAGAATTGTGTCCTGGAGGGCTTCAGGTTACACAGGAGGAAATAGGTATAGAGAGTACAAGTAACTTGCAAGAGTCATACCCGTGATTGCAGAGCCAGCATTCAATGGGTCCTTGTGGGACATGAATGTGATACAGCAGGTAGAAACTACTTATTAAAATTAATCCATAAAAAAGAGAAAATAATTTATAGAAAAATAACATAATTACACCATTATGGGCAATGAAAAGAGCTTTTCTTTTAGAGATACTAGCTATTGTTAGCAAATGATTTTTTGATTATAGGATCTAAGCATTTAGTGCATTTCTTTCCAGGGACAGGATGATATATCAAGTCATAATCACAGTTCTTTAAGCGTATAAAACTTAAAGTGAGAGTTGTATTTACATCAATGTAAGAGTACAAAATAAAAAATATGCATAAATATTTAAAAAATTCAAAATTTCAGAAAAAGTAATTGAATGTAGGATGGAAGAAACGGTCACAACTGTTGTTTCAGTTTATCCTCTTCCTACCAGATATGTTCAGTCCATAAGAACATGTTATGCCATTTTATGTTCTTAACGATACCTTTTTAGATGTGTCCTATCAAAAGGGGTTTGAGGTTTAGGTTTTGGTTAATTCCAAGAATGAAAATGTTAGTAGAATTATTTTTTAGATGTTAAGTGTCATCAAGAACTAATTTTAATGTGTCCTGAAATTCTCATATTATTTCTTAGAGTGATTTTATTGCTTAAAAGGTGAATAAATATTCTTATCATAGTCTATTGACTGAGTTAAATAAAGTAGCATTTTTTCATAATAAAATGTGTGTATTCTGAGTCCTCTTTCCCAAGGATGGTTGAAAATTTGGATGAGATTAATTTTATCTTTCTTCAAAATCTCTTCAACAATTTGTGCATCATACATGTTCTACCTTTAGCTTTTATCAAAAACTGAAATTAATAAAAAAATTCTCAAGAAGAGAAATGGTATTATAATATTAACAGAAACAACCTCATCAGCTTTGTAGCTATGTAAAGTCCATGGGAAATTTTGTTTCACAATTAAACATCAAAATAAATTTTAAAAAGCGTCACAATTAAGTTCATAAATAAAACACTTTATGAGTGGAACTTCTCTCCTTTATGTAATTATCACCATGAACCTGTGATGCTTCTTAACTCTTCTCTCATCACTACAAAAATCTAAAGGCACATAGGCCCAGTGTTGTATTGAGCCTCACACTTTGTATATTTGCTTTCCCTCTATTCTTAGAAATAGAAAATTGGGCCTCATTTTGTAATCTTACTTTCCTTTACTTTGTTTTAGGAGAGGAGAGTTAAGTTTTTTTTTTTTCCTTTTTCTTTTTTATGTTCAAAGTCTAGACTGTCTTAATTCTGTGGGGAAATAGCAGGACAGTTATGCTACCATTAAATGTAAGTTCTTAGAAAGTTAAATATTTTTTGTTTTCATTAATATTTGACAGAGAAGGCAGTATAATTCTGTAGGGTAAATGATTTTCAGGCTTTTCTGTTCTCCCACCATTAGGAGTGCATGCCTGATAGAGGGCACCTGCATTTGTTATATTGTTATAAATTATGTTGTATACTTCTGTGGGTCTTGGCAGCAGTATTGAGCTATTCACTAAGAGAAGCAGAGGCAGGAGAAAGAGGCAATAAAGAGTGAAAGGGAGAAAGAATGCCAGAGAAGCCCAGAGCAAAGGGGGCCTTGAAGGCCTATTGGCATATTGACCCCCCCATCCCCCAACCCTGCCTGCCATGTACCAGGTTGCTGCACTACGTGTAAAAGCTCAATAAAAGCTTGAGAAAGCCACCGAGGACTCCAGGACTCTCCTTTCTTTACCTGTCTGCTGCAAACATAAAAATCCTGCTCTGTGCCCTTCCTGGCACTACAAATTCCTTTGGGATAAAAGGGTTCTCAGATGATAACAACATACCTTTCTTTATTGAAGGAAAATCAATCTCTTGATCAACACCTCCTTTGTTAGACTTGTGTTTGACAACACAAACGTGGTCTTTATCCATTGACTTTTCAGGCACCGTCAGCCAGCTGAACTTCATGTATGTATCTCCAGTCTTGGTGGTATTTCCCACCTGTGATTCCAGAATTTTATCACCATTCTTTTCTTTCCAATCTATCTTAATAACATCAGGGGAAAAATTCTCCAGAAGGCAAAGATATGTTCCAGCCTTATGTAGGTTTACTTCAGCAATTGAAGGAAAAAAAACTGTGGGCTTGGGTGGAAAATCTTCTTCAAGGCTTCTGTCTGTGGGGGAAATGGAATAGCATTAAAAAGAATTACTGAAGAAACAAATTCTGTTTGGAACAACCCAGCATGGAGTAAAAGGAAGAAAAAAATGCCATAGAATTAGTGCTTTAAGTGTTCATATTCCACAACAGCTTGTGAGTTACTTATTGCTGTACTTCTTTTCAAATAAAAATAAGTTCAAGAGGTTATGTAACTTGTGCACATAGTCACAGCTATTAAGCAGCAGAGCCTGACCTTTGTTCTCTCTCCACATGCCAATATCACATATGACTTTTAATTGTCCAATAAGAGGCATTCAAGATTGCTTTTATTTATTTATTTTGTTGTTGTTCTATCATAGCAGAGCATGTTTTGAAGGTCGGTAATAGTGGAGATGGGAGAGAAGACCAGATAATTTTGGTGATACCTTCATAAATAGAATCTTGGTTGCTTTTACAGTAATTTCCTTTCTTATTCTGTGAGTTTTCTTGCTTATGAACTTTGATCAAATGGCACATTATCACGTTCTACAATTCTGTGGAACATCACTTCACCTAACTATTCTAAATATAACACATTTACTTTATTTTCCATACAAATAAATATTAGGTGGAAGACTGACCTTAAAAAAAAAAGTCACTTATTTTAATGGCAATCTCTTCCAAGTGTACTTATCAAATTATCAAGTTGAACTTTCGGCTTCAAATGTGGATTCTCATGCCCAGAATAGTTCTCCTAGTTTATTTCTAATTTTTTGTAACATTTGATTTCATAATTGAAGACACACTAGGTTTTTTGGTAGGGAAATATTAAACCTGCACAAACAAATAACTTATGGTATATAGAGTTTAGAAGTAACATACAAATATTTCCAAAAGTTCTATGAAAAATATATTATTTTCAGAAATGATCTTATATTAATCTTATCAAGTAATGTATCAGAATTTTCTTTCAATTTAGAAACTATTCATTAATATCAAATCTTATGTGGAATTTTTTTTAAGATTTATTTAGTTATACAAGCACTGGGTACAGTCAGAAGCACAGGAGGGTGAGCAAATTCACCAGAGCAAGAGCAGGGAACAGACCAGGCAGACTGATGAAATGCACTGCTGAGGGGAGCAGCGGACATGGCAGGAGAGTTCTCTTGCACCATGTGGGACCCTCGCTTGTGGCAGGGGATCGAACCGGCACTGCAGAGGCTGCGGGGAGCTTCACAGCCCAGCGCTCAACAGTTGTACCATAGGGAAGGCCCTTATGTGGAATTTAATTTGTATTTTAATCACAACACCTTATTTTGATTGTATTCTTTCCCAGATAGCTTTTATCTGCCCTGTGTGGATGGCTGCTAGGCTGTCTCAGAGCTCCACAATTTCCTGTTTTCTTTTCCACATGCTGAATAAAGTGTCTATATATTTGGTCTAATGTTTAAAGTTATGGCTCCAGACTAGTTTGCAGACATAATGCCAAAATAAATCACAGAATATCATCTACTCAAAAATACTAGAATGCTAGAATGTTACTTGATAATATATTTATTGTTAATTAAATGATTGAAATTATAGCTATTAGAACCCTTTCTAACTGAATTCCAGTAGAAACCCATATGTTATAGTACTATTCTCTTTGGGTTAGTTTGGAGTTACATTAATAATTCAGTGGGGAATATTCTTATAAAGAATTAGAGTTCTCATTTAAAATGAGAAAAAATTCTTGATGATTCCACATTTGTAGTAAAACTTGTGATATTCCTACTAAATCAGCAAGAAAACTATGTTGAGTTTTTAATCTTACGGAAAATACAACTAATTCACATCTTGCTTATGTTAATTCCATACATCCTATTTTAAATGAAATAGTATTATAGATTTCAAGCACAAGTCAGTATGTATTTCTCCAACCTTCTATTTTCTTTTAAATTTTAAAAAATGTTATATATTTTTTCAATAGAACATTATATTTTCATAATTATATTTTCTAGTCTCTGTATTACATAATCTACTTTGAGTCTTAGAAAGTTATTTTCTTCATCAGACTACTTTATTATACTAATGAAGTTGAAAATCAGTTGATACAACTAGAAAATTTATGGTAACACACTATTCTTAGGTTCTATCCATTGTATTTAGCTACATTATTTTAATGTTATTCTTCTCAGGATAAAATGAGTCTTGAACTTCAATTTTCTTTGCCCATGAAATAGGTAAGCAGGTAATTGGCTATTCTGTAGTTACTGCTTATATTTAAATCTTCATATTGCAAGACTTTTTAAATATAATTTTTAAATTGTATCAATGTTAGTGCTTTTCATGGTCAACATAATTTTAAGGGTGTGTAGAAAAGAAATAAGGTAAAACATATATCTGCCCCATTCATTTATATGCATTAATTTGCAAGCTAAATAATAATCTAAGTTCCTAAGTTGTTTAATTTCACTAAAATTCAGCAGTATGAATTTTACATAAATTTCCAAATGGCAACTGCATTTTCAATTGTAAGTGTGATATTTTATTTTTTTTTTAAAGAGGCATGTATTTTTATTTATGTATTTATTTATTTATTTGTTTGTTTATACATGCATTGGGTACAGTCAGAAGCGCGGGAGGGTGAGAGAATTCACCAGAGCCAGAGTGGGGAGCAGAGCAGGCAGAAGGACCGAAGTACACTGCTGAGGGGAGCAGCGGGCGGCAGGAGAGGTCTGCGCGCCATATGGGACCCTCCTGTGGTGGTCGGGGAGCAGCCGGGGATCGAACCAGCGCCGCAGAGGCCGCGGGCAGCTTCGCAACCCAGCGCTCAACCGCTGCGCCACCGGGGAGGGCCGAAAGTGTGATATTTTAAACCTGCATATTGGTGTTGACTTGTGTTCTAGATTTTTCTTGTTATGTTTATCATATAGGTAAATACACTATATCATATTTAAATATGATTCAAATTTTGCTATTTCTTTTTAATTTCCATTTAATTACTTTTACATCTTGAACATTATCTGTTTGAATATATATTTTTTTTCACATAAATGTGAGCATGAAGCCCAAACTCACTGACTATATTTTAAGGTCAATAAATGTTGGTGTTAGAGATGATGTCAATTAAGTTAGGGGATTAAAATTTAAAGCAATAGAATAATACTGACATCAACCAAACATTTCAATTTCATTTTTCTAGCCAAGAATGGAAAAGGATCACGGAAAAAAAAAAAAAAAAACAAGTGTCTCAAGTCATTGTGTGTGTGTGTGTGTATGTGTGTGTGAAAAAGAGAGAGAGAGAGAGAGAGAGAGAAGGAGAGAGGGAGAGGATGGTAAGATAACTTACTAGAAGTACAGCTGAATTCTTTGAAAAATGTTGGCTCTGTCAAGTAGTGTTTGCTGCATCAACTCTCCATACTGGGTAAAATTTTCACTTGGCATTTGAAGCAGAGGATTATCTAACAATCCAGCAATCTCATGTGTTAGACGATGGGCCAAGGATTTAATTCACATTTAATTCTCATACAACCCTTACTGCACACATACTGTTCTCTATTCTTATGGGACAAAAAATTGAAGCCAGGAAAAAAAATCACCAAATTCACCTAAGTGCAAAGTGATGGAGCCAGGGCTCCAGGTGGGCTTAACTCCAAATTCCCAGCTCTTTTACAAAACTCTTTTTTCATTAGAAAAGGAAAAACATACCTGTAATAATAATCTTTGTTCTTGGGCCAAACACTTTCAGGGTAGCTACACACGTTCATTACACATGGAACACTTTATACAAGTCCACATGTGCACAAAGCCAAATCCCATTACAGTATCTGAACAATGTTGTCCTTTACCATGGGATTTGTTTTAAAATCTCTCCTAAGATTTCCAATCCTCATCACATTCTTACTATTTCTAAACATATTGCTGTTATTCCAATTTTCATTATTTCTTGCCTTCCCTCAATTACCATCACCAGATTGTTTTATAAAATAACTCCACAGTGACTCAACCCATATCAAAAACTTCGACTAATTTAGCTTCTCTGAGTTCTACAAATTTTGTTGAACATGCTGTCCTGTGATTCAGGACTAGGATTTTGTTCATGGTTTATTTTACTCATAAGAAGTTCTGTGTTTGAGAACATCAAAGTAAGTTAAAGTTACTGTATTTATCTAAAAGCAATGTAGTGTAAATAACTCAACATCTCTACTAGAAATGAAGTGAAACAAAGATCCAAAATGAAGCCAAAAGACCAAAATGAAGCAAGGTCTGAAAAGCAATCTGATTAAAATGGTAACTGTAATTGGAGATTGTCATTATTATTAGGTATTTATTTGATGGGTGTGTGCTCCAACATGATGTCTTAACTCATGCCTTTACTAATAGATATTCGTTATTTAGGATTGAAATTAGGTCTGTGGGAATTATGGAGAAAGACTTGTTCTTGCACTGCACTTTGCTCTAATACATCTTGAATTAACAGCCATCATCACAAGAAAACTGCTTTTCACACACCCAACTAAGACAACTATTTGTATTGTCTTATCTGCATTATCCCTGTGATAAGAAAATAAAAGCAAACTTTGGCTCTAGTCCAGTATATGCCGTCAGTATATGAAACTGTTTACTTGTGTTCTTCACAGTGAGTGACTCTGTCCCCAATCCCTAACATGGTGCTTTTGCATTTGAAGCTTCACCAGCAATTTCAGCCTGAAACTGACATCTATCCTGCTCATGCCAGAAGTTCAGCCTTAAACTACTGACCATGGGCCTTCTACGAAAATGCCTAGAGAAATGGCAAGATACCTGATCCTCACATCCTCCTAGGATCACTGTAGGTCATTCAAATGTTACCGGCCTGACCACATCTGCTGAGGGTCACCACCTGTGAATGACATTAAATGTTACATAGCAAAAGCAATGGTCAGTGGTAGTATAAGATGGGATTGTTTAAAGACCACTTCTTTCATTTTATAAAACGGATGTTGAAGGCAGTGTCCACTGCCCCCTAAAACACTCTTGCATTAATGTGCTTCAATTATATAGTGGAGAAAACATAGTATTTGAAAATTTGCAGTGCTTTACTTAATCTGATAGTAAAAAGCATGGACTCCACTACATTCTTCTCCTACCTTTAAACACAAACTTTTACCCTGGCCTTCTTGGTAGATGATCACAGGCCTTTTTACTTCTGCTTTCCTTAGTGCTTTTGAGCATCTGTTTTTCATTATGATCTAAGTGTATGTGTATACTTTATTTTAGGTCTTTTTGGATAAATTTTGACTATAAGTGGCAAAATTTTGTGCATTTTAGTTTATTTCTTTTTCTGACCCAGGAGTTGACAGTTTAATCTCAAATATGACATGAGGGATAGAATAATATGTTTAAAAATTCTAGTTTGTGATACAGACATAAAATAGGCAGAATTCAAACAGAATGAACATGGCAATACATAAAGTGAGGCTTTGTACCCCCAAATTATCCCTCAAGTAACACGGGTTACCTTAATTCAGTTTGTGCAAACTTGTATTGAAAGATGCTTTTCTACTACTGTTTGGTTAAAAAGTTACTACTTCAACAAGATAGTAATCTGAAATAAATTCAGCTATGCAGTTTTGGAGCTTCACTTATAAAATGCAACAAAGACATTTAACTTGGATTTCATAGATATTACTTTGAGCTAACATTTCTATACCTCAGACTTATGTTACACATTTATCGAACAACAGAATAAATGGAAAAAAATGTTGTTTTGTAAATGGGTAATTGTCTTTTCAGTGACATCCTCATACAGAGACCCCATAGCAGACACTGAGGTACTGAGGCAACTCAGATTGTTTTTTTATCTGGATATTTTAGACACATGTGTATATTAAGATTCTGAACAAAATGTTTTGTGAAATTGATGTCAAAAAAGCAATATTCTTCAAATGATATTTTTATTGATAATTTTTTCACTTTTAAAAAGATCTAATGAATTACTGTTATCTTTTAAGAATTGTCATATTTTATATTTATTTCTAATTCCCAAAGTTCTATTGACTGAAACATTCATAAATTATACCAAATAGTATAAAGTAGAACAGAAATTATATAATCCTTTGTCCTCATCTAGAGTAAAAACTAAAATTATAAATACAGAGCTGACAGAATGGTCTCAGATTTTTAAATTTATATGTGAAACTTGATCATGGGCTTTCACTTGAGGTGATTGGTTTATGTAAGCCATCTTTTTTTTTAATGAAGCAATGTTAGTTTATAACATTGTATATGATTTTGGTGTAAATGATATGATTTTTAATTCAGCAGGAATAATTCAATTAAGATATGAAATAAAATAAGTAGGTACTTGACTTTTTATCTACATCATGGCAGGTTTATACATTCAAGTTTTAAAATAATTTTTTCCAGATATTTCCACTGGAAATGAGTATTCATCTTCAGATTTATAATACTTTGCATAATATTTATTATATTCTAACCACTTTTAAAAGCAGGTAACAAGTTGTCCTAGAAATTAAAATTATTTTACAAATGGCCAACAGGCATATGAAAAAATGTACATCACTTGCGGTCAGGGAAATGCAAATTAAAACTACAATGAGATACCATCTCACACCAGTGAGAATGGCACATATTAAAAAAATTAACAACAACAAATGTTGGCAAGGATGTGGAGAAAAAGGAATTCTCCTGCACTGCTGGTGGGAGTGCAAACTGGTCCAACCACTATGGAGAGCTGTGTGGAGATTCCTCAACCTACTAAAGATGGAACTTCCATATGATCCAGCAATTCCACTCCTAGGTATTTACCCAAAGGACACAGAAACATTAATTCAAAAGGGCACCAGCAACCCTATGTTGATAGCAGCACTATTTACAATAGCTAAGCTTTGGAAACAACCCAAATGCCCAAAAATAGATGACAGGATCAAGAAGATGTACATATACACCATGGAATATTACTCAGCAATCAAAAAAGATAGACACATGCAATTTGCAGCAACATGGATGGAGTTGGAAGGGATCATGTTCAGTGAAATAAGCCAGAAAGAAAAAGAAAAATACCAGATGGTCTCACTAATAGCAGGAATCTAGAAAACCTAAATAAGGGACCAGGAAAAAGAATAACTATAAGAGAGAAAAAATCAAAATCAACAAACAACTATGAACCAGAGACACACAATGGGGGGGGGGCAGGGAAAGGAGGGCTTGGGGTCAAAATAAGGAGGTTGCAATTGTATGGGGAATGTAAAAATAAAATTTAAAAAAAAAATTAACATTATTTTCAAATATTGACCATTTGTTTGATCTGGACACAAGAAGGCAATTAATACATTTATCTGTCCTGATTTCATAAAAAAAACTCCAGTAATAACTTGAATTCTGGACAATTCACATTTTGATCTTGTCCCATGTCCAATCTTTGTTGTAGGAATTTTTTGTATTTAATTCAATTTAACCCTTACAGCATTCACTTAAGATGGTTATGATATTGACAAAATTAATGGATGGAAATATATCAAATTTTAACAGTGATTACTGTCACTACAAAATGTATATATTTTTTCTCTCCAAAATGTATATTTTTAATTTTTTAATATTTTACTTGTTTCATAATGGGAATGTATTCATTTTATTTGTTAATAATATTATTTAATAACAAATAATTTTGTTAATAAAAATTTGTTAACTTTATCTGTTAATTTTCTTTTGTTAATAACCAGCAAATGAAGATTAGCTAAAGGATGGTAATATGGAGAGTGATAACCCAGAATCACACCTTATCTTTTCCTATACCATACCCTAATAAATTAGTTTTTCATGACCCTCATAAGTTTTATTTGTGTCACCATCACCTAACACCCTCCATCTTGGGCGCCTCTAGTGCACTTCCTTGTCAAATGAATTGCTGCCTCTTAGAAGACCTAATGCTGGCATATATCTGAATCAATAGTTGTATAGATTTTGGATCATAGCTGCTCAGCTCTTTTTTGGCTGTACTGCCCCATAATAACTCTAAAAACTAATTAGAGTTTTTCCTACCCCTTCCTGACAGCTAAGGCTCTCATTGTGTGTGCTGATGATCAGTTTTTCCCTCATGTGCTTTTAGCTTTTCATCGATTTTGTAGTGCTTATATGGAGATAAACCTGGCATCTTCACTGTCACAATCTTGATGGATTTCCATCATTTGCCCTTTGTTTTAACTGACATTGCTTTTTGTCATGCAAATGTATTTTCATTTATATGTACTAAAACTTATTAGGATGTTCTATTGCATCTTGAATTTTAGTTATAGATTCATTCCTTTGTCCTGTGGTACACAGCAGGGGACAGTAAATATTTTCTGTAGATGGTCAGATAACAAATGTTTAGAGGCTGCAGAGAATAAGGTCTCTACCATTACTTTCTTATACAATTGAACTCAAAAAGTTATAGAAAGTGCATAAATAGGCACATGGTGTTCCATGTGCATTAGGAGCTGATGTCCTATTTGAAAACATAAAGAAGAAAGTCTTAATTTCTTGTAACTATTTCTGTGCTTTTAGAAAATATTTGTTTAATTGTAGTTTTTACATTTTGAAAGTAAAATCAGCCACATATATACTTATCATGGGAAGACAAAATTTAAATTTATCATAGAAGAATGCTCTATTGATGAGTAATTAATTAGTATACAAGGCTTTGTTTAACTCTTTAGTTGAAGGAATCACAAATTAGATGCCAATTCTGTGTTTTTGTTTCAGAGTCAGGATACACAGTGGTTACAAAACACACTCAATCTGGAATCCAGCCTTATACCCTACTCACTAATTCAGTGACTACAAAGTAAATACTCTCCATACCTGTCTTCCACATACACATGTGCATCAAAATAGAACCAACATCAAAGTATTATTACAAGCATGAGATGAGTCACACATAAAAAGGATTTAGAGCAGTGCCTGAGAAAGAGCAGTCGCTATGAAGGGATAGCCTGGGCATCTCAAAACAAAATCCAAATGGAAACTAATAGTGGAATCCACCTGGGTATGAGATGATATATATGCCAGTCGAAATCCTGGGTACATGAAGACTGTATAAAAGCATTTGTGCTGGTTGGGTTCTAACATCCCTTCTGTAGATTATACACCTGTCTTACTCCCACACAAGGAGGGGTGTGAGCGCCATTCCATATTGTACCCCAATATTTATGGAGTAAATGAACACTGAATTTCTTCTGGATGACCTGACAAAGTTGAAAAAGCAGGGGATTTGGCATTTTAAGTTATTTTTCTCTTAGTCTCCAATTATTCATATTCATGTGGAAAAATCAAGGTGACATTGCAAACATACTGTGATGATTGTAGAAGATGAACAATCACCAGAATATTGCCTTGCACTCAATAAATTTCTATTTGAGTCAGATACATATATTTACAGGTCATCACTGGGCAGTAAAATGTACTAGTGCACAAGTCCATTACTGTAGGAAGGGAGGCTCAGGCTGGGCTCCCAGGCGTGAGGGCTACGAGGTGCCCATATTGGGAAGGAAGTGGTGGGCACAGACCTGAAGTGGTTTTTGTGTAGGTGATCTTAGTGATTCTAATGCTGTGGCCCAAGGTCCAGCAGGCACAATAATACATGCCTTCATCTTCTTTTTCTAAGAAATCAATTTTCAAGGTTGAAGTAGAAGTAGAAATGTCTTTACTTGCTTCAAGCTTGATTTGCGCATCTACTTGTTTCTGAACAGGTTTTGTTGTAGATTGGACATACATTAGATGTTCTATATTCTGGCCAGGTTTCTGTCGGTACCAGTGTATGTAATCATTGCGAAAGTTAGCAGAGAACACCTTACAAGATATCTGGGCAGTCTGAAATCTTGTGCTGGAAAATGATATTTCAGGTTGTTCCAAATTTAACTGCCCAATGCCAACTACAAACAAAGAAAACTGCATGAAAATGACATACAGACAGATAATAAAAAATTTTCTCAGTGTCTATAGATGGAAACGAGTGGGGGGACACTCACAAGCCCAGAGGGAAGAGAAGATGACAGCTTCCAAGAGAGGCATCCTGTTGGCTGGCTGGCTCCCAAGGAGAAGGTAAAAATGTGAGGTCCCTGTGAGCAGGAGTTCTGAGGCCAGTGCTGGGAGGGTGGGGCTGGTGCTGGTGTCTGATGGTGAAAAGTGGTGACTGGTAATTTACTGGGGTTCTTCATGATCTGCTGCAAATATGAGAAGTTCTGTGGTTTCCTGCACCACAAGAGCTGGCAGGTGAATCCCATCTTGAGGTTTCAAGATCTAGGAAGAAATCCCTAGTATGAAATTGCACAGGGCCAGAAATATTCTCTTATCCACTCACCTGTCCCCCTGTGTAGTGACAGGAATTGGCACAGTGCAGGTTTTCTATGATCCAGCAGACCGGGTAAAGGAGGAGAGAGTCCTGGAGCCCTCAGTGTCTTTTGCAGGCTTTTATTGGAATTTATCGGGTACATGGCAGGTAGGGGTGCCGGGGGGCCGGGAGGCTGCCAAGCTTCCCAGCCCCCAGCAAGTCTTCACTTTTTCTGGGCTTTCCGGCCTTCTCTCGCATTCTCTCTGCTTTCCTGCTTCTCCTTCTCTCTTGGCTTCTGCTGGCATCCCCATGACGCCACCCTTAAAAGCCCAGTCTTAGGCCAGGTGAATCCCATCTATATATGCCCACACCCTACTCCAGGTGCCCACCATCAGGCATGCATTCAGGAACACAGGGTTCTGTCATCTATCCTAATGGCTGGCAGGAGGGCAGAAAAACCTGATACTTTTTACCTTACCCTACAGTCCACCCCCTCAGAGTTTTCTGCCATGCAATCTACATAGATACAATTTTGTTTCTTAGCAAACATAAACAATGCAGCCATGGCCCACAAAAGCAAATACATCACAATATAACAACAAAATACAACAGAACACAAATAAGTCCAGGCAGGGCACCAACCTAGTGGCAAAATACAATTATTGGCACCAGCAGATGATCCACCACTTCTGCTGCCGAAGGCACTGCTCATACAAGGGAGGGGAACCGCTCACGGCATCTGCCGTAACACACCAGGAGCCATCACGCTTCCTGGCCTCTATGGCTGTAGTCTTGGCTACAAGCCACACACAGCATCCACCCCCAGGATTGGCAATTCTATACTGTTGGGGGTAATTGCCACTCTCAGGGTTTCTGTCTGCGGTCACTCCAACACTCGGCTTTCATAGCCACCAATGCGACACGCAGACCCCTGCACTCAGGCCAACCCACTGCACAAGCACATGGGTCGGGGATCCAAACTCCACATGCAGCCTTTCTTGGGTCCCCTCTTTGGCTTGGGCTCTACCCCACATTCCCCACCTGTCCCCCAAGGATGGGTTCCTCAGCTCCTTACCCTCACCCAACAACAAGCAGGGCATCACACACAGGTGATTTTATGAGACTCACTGGCCTTCCTCAGCTTGCTTAGTGCTTAGCAGCCACTCAGGGCTTCCCAAACTCAGCATCAGCACCAGCTTTTGCCTTCTCATTTGGTTTCTCTTCTGCCTAGCTGCTGGGCATACACAGGCTGCTTTTGGCCACCAAGGCCCACTGGCCACCCCCAGATTCCCATCTCCTGGGGTTTACAAACGAAATTATTCCACCCCAGGGTCCCAAAACATATCAACCTGCAAGTTCCTCTGCCTTCTGCGGGATTGTCAGTCCAACTCCATTAGTCCAAGTCCATCAGGCCTCTCCCTGCATCAGCACTGGCAAGCTCTGAATCACGGTCCTCTCTTCCCCAACGATTCTGCTGCCTCAGGGGTCGTTGGCTGGTTCTCTCGGGCCGTCTCCTTCACGGGAGGTCTGGTACTGTAGCTCCCAGACCTTGTCCATCTCCTGTGCCGCCATGACACCTCCAGCGCTGATCCAGGCTTTTGGTCTGCTACTACTGAGGTCTTCGGAGGGCTCCATACCCGTCTGCATGGATCATCTTGCCGATTTACACCAATTGTAGTGGCAGGAATGGACACAGTGCAGGTTTTCTACAATTCAGCAGACCGGGTACAGGAGGAAAGAGTCCTGGAGCCCTCAGTGGCTTTTGCAGGCTTTTATTGGATTTGCCGGGTACATGGCAGGTACATGGCAGGTAGGGGTGCCGGGGGGCCGGCAGGCTGGCAAACCTCCCAGCAAATCTTTACTTTTTCTGGGCTCTCCAGCCTTCTCTCTGTTTTCCTACTTCTCCGTCTCTCTCAGCTTCTGCTGGCGTCTCCGTGACGCCGCCCTTAAAAGCCCAGTCTTAGCCCAGGTGAATCCCATCTACCTAGGCCCACACCCTATTCCAGGTACCCGCCATCAGGCATGCATTCAGGACCGCAGATCCGTCATCCATCTATCCTAATGGCGGGAAGGCAGAAAAGCCTGATACTTTTTATCTTACCCTACACTAGCAAAGCTTTTTAACGTCCCTTAGGCACGTGCATTGGGTTATTTTTATGTTTTTTCAATTAACAAGATATTTCACACAGATTAAGACTCAGACATCAAATTTCATTTATACTCTGGGTAACTCCAAGAAAGGGAAGGTCTGCAGTTGCTGTGAGACAGAGAAAACTGTGGAAACCAGCTTCTACTCACCCTGAACCTCGGAACTGTTGTCTGAACATGGATTATTAGCAACGAGGAGCCGGTGTGCTCTGTTAACTGCTGCAGCGGCGGCTGCTACTGTGGCTGCTGCTGCTTCTCACCCTGGTCTAGCTGTGAAACCCAGGAATTTAGTCCTTAAACCCCTGTGAGTTCTTGTTCCATGAAGTCATAAAAAGGAATTCATAGGCAGACTCTCAGATAAATAAGCAGAGAGAAGCAAATCTTTATTTAGAGAGTAAAGAAATGTTTATTTAGAGGAAAAAGAACAGACGTGAAGACCCCAAGGTAATGATGCCAAGGAGCAGCAAGACGCCGCCATGAGCCTGTGTTAAGGGCATATTTAAACTTTTTTTTTTGGCCTATTTTAAAATATGCAAAGAGGCAGTTAGCTCCTTTCATTAACTCTTAGCCTAATAAGGAAGAAAACTTTCTTGTTTTAATTGAGACTGAAACTAAGCTGCTTCTATTCTAGTTGTAACTAATGGTTAAGAGCAGGGGTCCTGAAGCCAGGCTGCTTGGATCAAATTACAATTTGTGGCTTATTAGATGCCTGACATTGGGGATGTGCTTTCACCTCTCAGCTGCAGTTTCCCGGTTATAGATCAGAGATCATTGTGCTGGCTCACCGGGCTCTTGTGAAAATAGTTAGCATGTACTTAGGCCAGTGCTCAGTACTTGGGAAGCACTCTGCAGGGTTTGTATTCACTGGAAAGTTAAACAGTGATTATGTAAATTGTAGTATTAATTGAAGTTATTGAATTTAAACACTTTCTTCCAATGGTGGTTAAACTCGGGTAATGTGACATGGTCAAGAACAAATGACACAGAACATGGCCCAGTGTCAGTCTTTCGGGGGTGTAGGGTAAGGAAAAAATGTCAGGCTTTTCTGCCCTTCTGCCATCAAGATAGATGACGGAACCCTGTGGTCCTGAATGCATGCCTGATGGCGGGCACCTGGAGTAGGGTGTGGGCATATGTAGATGGGATTCACCTGGGCTGAGACTGAGTTTTTAAGGGCCGCGTCATGGTGATGCCAGCAGCAGCAGAGAGAGAAGCAGAGAAGGCCGGAGAGCCCAGATAGTGAAGACTTGCTGGGGGCTGGGAGCACTGCCAGCCTTCAGGCTCCACAGCACCCCTGCCTGCCATATGCCTGCTAAATCTAAATAAAAGACCTGCAAAAGCCACTGAGGACTTTGACTCCTCCTTTACCCTGTCTGCATGGGATCGTAGAAAACCTGCTCAGTGGCCTGTCCTGCCTTTACAAGGGGTCAGAAATTACTGGGTCAGGAAGATATTTAATGTAACTCCTACCTCACAAGTATAAGTGGACATGCCACGGTCTTCTACAAGGTAATTCTGTGCACCTCAGAGCCCGTTCAGTCCATGGGAGGAGCGGGGGTGTCAGTGGGGTACATCTGCAGTGCTCCCTCATGTAATGCCTGAGATTCTGAGTCATTTCTTCTATGCCCCCCGCCCTCCAAAGAATAGCTGTGCATGGAGGACAGACCCCTCAAAATCAGGCAGGTTTCCCATACCGTCATAACTAGGGGAGCAATTCCAGAGTGTATATGTGAGAAGAAAAGATAGAGGCACCCACAAAGTCATTAAGAAATTCCCACTGACAACTGGGAGAATGTCTAATGAGAAAGCAGTGCATATTTTGTCTTTCAAATTGAAAAAGAAATAGTAATCATGGGTGACAAAATGCAGGCTTTGCGTTTAAGTATGCCAATTAGTTTCAGAACAGTAATTGAGCAACTTAGACTCTTCAGTCTCTTAAACTGTGCACTATAATTTGTTCCTACATCTAAGGTATCCTACATGGTTAAAAGGATGAACTAGTATGTAGTCAAAATTCACCAGCTCCCTACTCTATACACATCTGACCTCTATGCAGGGTGACAGGATGCATATGATTGTCAGTGTTTGTATGTGTGTGTTGGTGGGGGAGTATCTGCTATTAAAGAAGAGTCACCAATAGTAGATACTAATGTTGCGGGTTGTATATAAAAGCACTAATACTTCATCTAATCCCATAATGCCTAGGGACAAGGTGTTGTAACTTCCTTTTCAGATGAAGAAATGATGGCACAAAGATTCATGTAGCTTAACCGCATTCTGGCCACACAGATGCGAACACCAGGCCCAGGATTCAAACCCAGGTGCCCTGCATGCAGGTGCAGGAGCTTCCCCTCCTCCATGCTGCCCCTCCCATGTTTGCATGGCTCTCATGGATTATATGAGGATCGGGAATCACGAGGCTTGTGAAACACTTCTGCATATTGCAAGTCATGATTGATTTATTCAGTTACTGTGGAAATATCCTAAAACAAATGAATCTTAAAAGTTTGCCTTTGCAAGAGAAGTAATTTCTTTTTTTTTATTTTTTTTTAATTTTTATATTCCCCATACAATTGCACCCCTCTTATTTTTACCTCAATCCCGCCTTTCCCAGACCCCCATAATGTGTCTCTAATTTATACTTGTTTGTTGATTTTGATTTTTTCTATCTTATAGTTATTCTTTTTCCTTTTCCCTTATTTAGATTTTCTAGATTCCTGCTATAAGTGAGACCATCCGATATTTTTCTTTTTCTTTCTGCCTTATTTCTCTGAGCATGATCCCTTCCAGCTCCATCCATGTTGCTGAAAATTGCATGTGTTTATCTTTTACGATTGCTCAGTAATATTCCATTGTGTATATGTACCACATCTTCTTGATCCAGTCATCTATTTTGGGGCATTTGGGTTGTTTCCAAAGCTGAGCTATTGTAAATAGTGCTGCTATAAACATAGGGGTGAAGGTGCCTTTTGAATTAATGTTTCTATGTTATTTGGATAAATACCTAGGAGTGGGATTTCTGGATCATATGGAAGCTGCAAGAGAAGTAATTTCTAACCCTTCATTTGTCTGTGGCTTCCATAGAGACAATGTCCCATAGAAAGATCATAATTGCCATTTCTAGGAAAGAACTAGAAATATTTATTGACTCAGTTGTATGTATTGAGCTCTGTTGTGGTCCATTTTCTTAACTTCGACTTCAATCAGATTTCAAAAAATTGAAGTACACAAGACAAAAGCAGATTTTCATTTTTTTTTAATTTATTGTATTTATTATGCAAAACAAGATACAGAATTGAAGAAGCAGAGAGAACAGTTTCAGGGTGTATAAGATGAAAATCTTCAAGGCAATCATGTGGCTAAAGCGCACTAAGGGAGTGTGACTAGAAATTGCATCCTGACTACTCAGCAGGCAGAATAAGTGGGTTGAATGGAACAATTTTATTGAGGTTATTGAGACAATAGAACTAAACAAGGCTTTAGTCAGATATCCCCTGTCCTTGACTCTGAAAATGGCAGAATTTGTTGTTACAGAATAAAATTTTCTGTTTGTTCAGGTTTTGAAAAGTCATTACACAATAATAATGAACAAGAAAAGTACAAGAACTAAAATAACCCAAACCCAGAAAGTCAGCATGGCAGGATCCTCACAGAATCTTCCAGCGATAGTCAATGATGAAAACTACTTTACTGTTTTGTGCCATCATCTGTTAGGGAATCTTCCCATTGCAGCAAACTCCTGGTGTCCTGAACAGACTGAAGGCGATGATGGCAAAGTAGACCACGCTCTTGAGAAGGAGGATGTAGGTGTAATAGGCAGAGGAGTGGGTGAGCTGCAGCTTCAGTGACCCTAAGAAAAAGTGCTGTAATTAGTTATTTTTTTTTAAATAATAGTATAAGTTAATAAAGATGGGGTCACAATAATTTTTTTCTGATAGCTAACACTGAAGTGACATTCACGTGCCACCAAAATCTGAAAGAAACAGCTACAGCCACCACCAGCACCAAGGACCACAGCAACAACAGATGCAGCCTCAGGTCAAGTTCAACAACCTCTGCTACATTTTCATAGAACATTACAAAATATTCAACAATAAGGTTCAAATTCTAATAAAAGAGTCTTAAGAGGGAAAAAAATGTGGTAAGTTTTAGTATTTCTTCACCCAGACCATTTCTCTAAGTAAAATCGGACTGAAATCATCTTTTGTCCTTGATCAAATGCCAAATACTTTGAGATCTTTGCATGAAAATTATTTAGATTTTGCTAAATCTATGATATTATTATCTTCCTTCCAATATTATAAATTTGATTGTGAGAGAGGGAAGTAATTTGCATGATGTCATGCATTTAGTAAATATAAGAAGCCAGATTTCAACTCCAACAACCTAACTATAAAGAATACATTCGTAGGGCCACCCTGGTGGCACAAGAGTTTAAGATGCAACCTATGAAATTATCTGCAACAACAGTTCGATCCTTGGCCAGGCAGCTAACCCACATGGTGCAGCCAACCTCTCCTGACTTGCCCACTCCTCCCCTCAGCAGTGTATTTCAATCAGTCTGCTAGTTCTGTCCCCTACTCTGTCTCTGGTGAATCCTCTCACCCCCCACACCTCTGGCCTGTATCCCAGTTCTTGTATGCATAAATACATAAATCTTTTGTTTTTGAAAAAAGAATGCATTCATCACTGTAATTCTGTGTCTCTAAATGTAATATATATCCACACTTCAAAAATTAAGCTTAAGTGTAAAATTCAATTGCTGATTCAGAAGTCGTCCCACATTATACATGCAATAATAATCCATGGGGATTTGATTGTGTTGTCAGTGGTAAGGGTGGGAGGTCTTAGAAGAAAGAGGTTAATCCAAACTCTCTAAAACTTTGGAGGTTATAGCTCACACATTTCTCTTTCCTAAATGCCTCTCATCTTGCTGATGATGTTATGGGATAACTGCATATAATATATATTCAGTTTTCCAGGAAACATATAATGTCAAGAAATAAAAGTGGGGCCTCCCCGGTGGCGCAGCCGTTGAGCGCTGGGTTGCGAAGCTGCCCGCAGCCTCTGCAGCACCAGTTCGATCCCCAGCTGCTCCCCGGCCACCGGAGGAGGGGTCCCACATGCGCACAGACCTCTCCTGCCGCCCGCTGCTCCCCTCAGCAGTGTACTTCGGTCCTTCTGCCTGCTCTGCTTCCCGCTCTGGCTCTGGTAAATTCTCTCACCCTCCCGCCCTTCTGACTGTACCCAGTGCTTCTACAAATAAATAAAATAAATCAAAAAGAAATAAAAGTGACAATGAGGCTGGCCAGGCAGGGCGCTCAGTGAACCTAAGGGTGGATGAGTCTCTTCCTTGGCAAATTTCCCTTTCACATGTTTTATTTTGATAGAGTTAGAACTCTAGAAGCAGTAAGCACTTGGTGACAGAAGGAATTTCAAGTGGGATTTGTTTATAATTTCCCCACCCTTGATTCAGGTAAGGTGTTAGATGAGGTTCTTAGCCCCTTTGATATTGGGTAAGGGGGAAGCACAGGGCTGGAGCCAAAGCTGTCATTTTCTCTGTACCTATGTAGGGAGAAGGAGCTAGAAACTGGTCCTGATTCTGTGCCAGCTAAAGGAGACATTTCACAAGGTCACTGTATCTCTCCAACAACTGAGTGAGGTGTAATTATTCCAAATTGGTAGGTGAGGGAAAGTATTCCTCAGAAATGTAAATTGTTTGTCCATACTCATGAAATGAATAGTCAAAAATCTGGAGTTAAAATTGGGTCTGCAGTACTCTGAGGCCCATGCACTTCTCCCTACTCCCATGTGTCCACTATATCTCAGGACCTTAATGTTGGGATTTCTTGCCCTGAAACTGTATCTTAGAGGAAGAGTGGAGAAGTGATTAAGGGAAAACCCAAGACCTAGCTGTGTAACAGGGTACAAGGAACTTCATAAATCTTCGTTCATTATTCTCCTCTAAAACAGTCTGGGGGTGGGGAGGGAGAATATTGTACCACATCATGAGAGAATTATAATTTAACAGAAAAAAATGCATTCAAAACATAGCACCATGACCTGTATATGATGCTCTCAGTGTCAGTTCATGCTGCTACCTACTGGCAAGGACAAAAGATGTAAAAAATAATATAATAACAAGCTGGTAGCATGTTTTCTCCAGACATTAGAAACAAAAGCAACACAAGTGAATAAAATAATTCTGAGCATATGGCTGTACACTCTAATCTCAGCCATCCCATACCCATGCCAGCATTTACTGTGTTAAGATGTGTATCACTCATTCTATTATATAAAATGCATACATTTTTCTACTTTACAACAGGAAAGCTCAAAAGCTAAGTGATCAGGAGAAAAAATAGGTCATATATAGCATAAATAAAAACAAACATGTGCAAAACTTACATGTACAAAACTTTCATCTTCCAGACTAAACTTTTTAGGGAAATTATCAGTTGTGAAAGGGATAAAGCATGTATTATGTGTTCATGTCCACTATTTGACAGTGCATGTCTGTGTATGTAGATGATAGATAGATTTTTCTTTTATACACCAGTTCAAAAGCTAAGCTCATAAAGTAAAAAATGTGCTGTCACATTACAGAAAATCAAGGCATATGCAAAAACTTACTGCTTTCACCTGTTATCACAGCAGGGGCGATGTACTCAAGACCATCTTCTTTTCCTCTTGGATTCAGACCTCCTAGCATGGTGGTTGTCTCAGTGTAGGTGTTCAAAAAATATTCCATGACTAGGAAAAAAAAGGGGGGGGGGCTGCTTTATGTCTTCAGCACACACCACATATTGCTTGTAACACTTTCAGGCACATGGTTTTCTAAAGTTGGGGGTTTGTGGACATGACAAAAATATTTTCTCAAAGCTATTATCTACTGAGTGATTATTACTGTGCAGGATCTGTGTTAAATTCAGTATCTCATTTAATCCCCCAGTCGCACTGAAGCAAATTGTGTCCTGGAGGGCTCCAGGTTACACAGGAGGAAATATGTGTAGAGAGTGTAAGTAACTTGCCAAGAGTCACACCCATGATTGCAGAGCCAGCATTCAAAGGGTCCTTGTGGGAAATGAATGTGATAAGGCAGGTAGAAACTACTTATTAAAATTAATCCATAAAAATAGTAAATAATCTATAGTGAACTATAACATTTCTTATAGCGATATTAATTATTATTAGCAAATGCCATTTTAATTATAGGAACTGAGCATTTAGTGCCTTTCCTTCCAGGATGGGATGATAGCTCAAGTCATAATTACAATTCTTTGATTAAAGCTTGACGTAAGAGTTGTACTTATATCAATGTAAAAATGCAAAATAGGAAATATACATAAACATTTTAAAATTTTTCAAAATTTCTTAAAAAATAATTGAAAGTAGGATGGAAGAAACAGCTACAACTGCTGTTTCAGTTTATCCTCTTCCTACCAGATGTGTTCCGTCCATAAGGACTTGGGTCTGTTATGCCATTTTATGTACTTAACGATATCTTTTTTAGATGTGTTCTAACAAAAGGGTTTGAGGTTAGGTTTTGGGTAAATTCCAAGAAATAAAATGTTAGTAAAATTATGTTTAGATCTTATTATCTTCAAGAACTGCCTTTTATGTCTGGTCTTATTGCTTACAATGACTTTATTGATTGAAAGATAAAAAATACCTTATTATCATGTACTGATTGAGGTAAAAGCAGTAAGGTAGCATTTTTTATTTTGTAGTAAAATCTGTGTATTCTGAGCTCTTTCCCAATAAAGGTTAATTGGAAAAATTGGATGAGACTAGTTTTACCTCTCTTCAAAATCACTTCATTTATTTGTGCTTCCAGGTTATACTGTTAGCTTTTATCAGAAACAAAAACTAATAAAAAAAAAAAAACTTCCAGAAATGATATTAGACAGGCATCTTAACAGAAACAAGGTTATCAGTTTTGTTACCAGGAGAAAATTTTTTCAGAATTAAGCACCAAGTAAATCACAGTATGAAATGAACTTCTCTCCTTTATAGTAGCCACCCCCATGGATCTTGTTATGTTTCTTACATTTCCCTCAACACTAGAATAACCTAATAGGCACATAAGCCCAATCATTATATTGAGCTTACACTGTGTATTTTTGCTTCTCCTCAGTTTCTTAGAAATAGAAAATTGAGGCTCATTTTGTAATGTCACCTTAGTTATTTTGAGGAAAGGATATATAAAATATAAAATATATAAAATATATTATTTCTTATATATATATATATCAGTGTAATGGGATTCGGATCATACATACATACATATGTATCCTAAATAATATATTCTATTATATACATATATAAAATATTTTTAAATTTATCTCATATTTTAAAAGCAAGTGTTTCACTGATGTTATTTCATTTGTTCTTTGCACAGTTCCAGGACAGGGCCAGGGCTTGTCTTTAAACTGAATTTTATTGATGAAGAAATTTAGAATCCAAGAAAATAAAGTTTTAATTCAGAAATTTCAGTACATAGAAATTTCAGTACATAGAAAAACACATCTCAATTTTGTAAGTGCATCTCTCCTCCCTAAACCCCTGCTCTACCCACTGTCTAAGAAGGGGTTGTTAACATCTGGGAAAAGTACAAGTTGATTCTTTTTGATGGACGCTATGGGGCCGTTAGACTGCTTTGTTCATCCTCGGGATTCTAAGTACTGTGTCTATTGAATTCTGGGACCACTGCCAGTGGGTCATATTTGACTCTCTTCCCACACAAAACAGATGTGCACAGCCTCTACATAAAGGGACTCCTTTGGGACATCATTCCTGAATCATGAGTGACATTCAGTGATAAAGAAATTAGTATATCTACTTACCATATGGAACTTGGATAGTATATACTACATATATATATCTGGGCATAGTAATTAATCTTAGTATATTCATTCCCACATCCCTTGCCAGGAACTCATTATTTACTACAATAAATGTTTGTGGAGCTGTATTTACCAATGGCAAGAAATACAGTCATCTAGAATCAAAGTATATTGTGTACATTAACTCTCCCATCTCAGGATGAAATAGCACCATGTGCTAGTTTACAAGACACAAATCTGTAAAACTGAAGACCATAATAAAACTGCAGTAACCGAATTATGCAATTTTTGCTGAGACATGATCTGGCTCCCTCAGGTCAACATGATTTTATTGCCTAATAACTCACTTTTTATAGATTAAAGTACAGCAAGATTGACATGAGAGTGACTTTGCTTACAAAGTAGAACATTCCTGAAAGATGTATAATTGTTCCTATTTCCTCATCAAGCAAATCATCAAAAGTCAAATCTCTTTTTGTGTTACGTGCTAAGTTGCGAGAAGCTATCATGTACGTTTATTTTAACCCATAGGAAAACCCTAAAAAAGCATCATTGTGATCTTAATTTTTTGGATGATAACATTGAAACTGAGAAAAGTTAAGTAAAATTTTTCTCTTTTATGTTCAAAGCATATACTATTTCAATTCTGTGAGGAAATAGCAGGACAGTTATACTACTGTTAAATGTAACATTTCAGGGTATAATTTTTTGTTTTCATTAATATTTGATAGATAAGGCAGTATAATACTTTTGGGGAAAAAAGAGATCTGGGATGATATATTTATATTTGTGTACATACCTTTCTTTATTGAAGGAAAGAGAATGTTTTGATTAATCCTTGTGGTAAACTCGTGTTCGACAACACAAATGTGGTCTTTATCCATAGACATTTCAGGCACCGTCAGCCAGCTGAACTTCATGTATGTGTCTCCAGTCTTGGTAGTATTTCCCTCCTGTGATTCCAGAATTGCAGCACCATTCTTTTCTTTCCAACTTATCTTAACAACATCAGGGAAAAATTTCTCAAGAAGACAAATATATGTTCCAGCCTTATGGAGGTTTATTTCAGCCATTGAAGGAAGTATAACTGTAGCCGTGGGTGAAAAATCTGCATCAAGGTCTCTATCTGTGGGAAAAATTGAATAGCAATTGAAAAGAATTACTGGAGAAACACAAGTATTGTGTTGTTTGGAGCAACTTAGCATAGAGTAAAAGGAAGAAAACATGTCATAGTACTAATGTTTCTTTAAGTTGTCATTTATCCACAATCGTTTGTGAGGTACTTATTGCTGTACTCAATATTTAATGCAAAATGAGGTCAAGAGGTTTTGTAACTTGTGCCCAAAGTCGCAGTATTGAGAATCAGAGTCTGGATTAAAACCTGTCCTTTGTTTTCTCCACAGGCCAGTATCACATATTCCCTATCAGTCTCCCAACACTCAAGTACACATTTATTTTTAAAAATCTCTATGGTAATAGAACATATTTTGAAGGTGGATGGTGTTGGAGATGGGAGAGGAGACCATATAATTTTGGTGATAGTTAGAATCTTTGGTTGCTTCTAAAGTAATTTTCTTTCCTATCCTGTGAGTTTTGTTACTTATGAACTTTTTTTTAATATTATTGATTGATTGATTGATTGATTGATTGATATAAGAGCTGTGGTACAGGCCAGAGGCACGGGAGGGTGAAAGGATTCACCAGAGACAGCAGGGAGCAGAACAGGCAGACTGACCGAAAGCACTGCTGAGGGGAGCAGCGGGCGTGCTGCGCCTTATGGGCACCTCCCTGGCCGGCCAGGAATCAAACCTGCTCTGCAGAGGCTGCGGACAGCTTCACAGTGCTGCGCTAAACCCGATACTCCACCGGAAGGCCCTACTTAAGAACTTTGACAAGTAACACATTTTCATGTT